AAAAAGTTATTAGATCTTCCCCAGACAGAAACTGCCATTAGCAATGCAGTTTCCTTGATATCTCACAAGCAGATTTTAACTGCAGTTATATCATTCTTGTAAATCAGTTTGAATTTAGGAAAATAAAGTCGCTTCCATTCTGTGGTTTTGTTGTTTGACCTTCTCCATCCTCCCTCGTCTCCAACTACTCTTTGGCTAGTAAGTTTTGAAGACTCAAATTTATAAGTAAGTTTTTCAACTACTAGGCAGAATTCAACCTGTTACAATTCATTTTTATGCAGCAAGTTGACAATGTTTCGGTAACAGCTGTGCTTCTAACGTAACTTATTTTAGCCGCATTTTTCTAGAATCTCTGAAGCACAAGCCTGAAGAAGTTGCACTGCATTCAGCATTACATACAAAACAAGAAAACCCACATAATCATGTAGAGCTGCTCATAATTGATTCATGATTCACATACTTCCACACTAGTTCTGGGACAGCATTATTTATTAAGAGTTATCTATACCTCAAAGTYTCCCTGAAGTCTGCTAAGAACTACAGCAAATACCAAAATCACRATAGCAGTAGAGCCATTATGGTACTGAAGTTTTAATACAGTTTTATAACAATAGTTTCAAGACTGTTYGAGGAGTATCCCGCTATAAACAATCAGCAGGGACTGTCCAAGGTACACGTAAGCCTAATTCAGGTATCTTGCCTAAAATATAAGAGGACTGTGTTTTAAARGGTCACACAATGGGGCTTTCGAGATAACAGAGCATTTGCTTCCACAACTTGCTTTCAAGTCACTTTATGCAGCATGTAGTTTGGTTAAAAYGAAGTTATATACTTTCCCTCTCAACAGCCTCACTGCACAGAAAAATATGAAATGGAGGCACATACAGTATTTATTCCAAACAATACTATAAATTATGCCACTAGATAAAGTGCTAAGCAGAACACAGCAAAGACAAAAATACAGCTCAATAGCATAGCGCAGAAGCATTATCACAAGGATATAAATAAGTGAAGTAGAATTACGTCTTTCTCTTCTCCCYCTSCCTAAAAAACAGTTAYACCATTAKTTTTCACAAACATTTATCAAATTAAATCTGATCTGACATAGATATCAGTGTCTTTTCTCCTCTAAGATCAGACTTCTGATATGCCATACAATCCATGACAGGTTATCTCAGCATACTTCGATTACATTTTGGGTCTACTTAGCATCTTAAAGAGGTCTGCAGTCTGATAAGACCACTGGATATCTTTTATACTTAATGTACAACAACCCTTTAAGATACTCTTAAACTTGGTTAGTGAAATATGACTTTTGGAAGGAAACCATACTGAGAAGCCAGAGACTMCAAAACTGTGGTACAATGCGAGTCCTTGCTTRAYGKGCACAAACACAAGAGAGGCCAACTRTAACAGTTTAAAAGGGAAAATAGTGAGGAAAAGGCTGATATTTCGTATTATTTAGTACACCATCCTACATTCAGGAAGCAATACGTTATMAAAAAATAAGATAAATTTCTACGCTACTCCCCCAATGGAGATGTGAGCTTGTTAACTGTAAAATGAACAGTAGACTCTTTTTTTTCTTAGTAGAGGGAATTAACGAAAAAAATAATGCTGATGCATTTGATTTSAAAAAAAAACCCTACAAAGTTGGTTAGGAGGACAGAAACATCAACCACAAACTGGGAGAAATGAATGAGAGTGGTAGGAAAGCTTAACAAATGAAATTTCACAAAGTGCAAAAACAAAGCAATGTTTTAGATCACTTTTCTGCTACGGATTGACTAAGAAAATCTCACATACAGCAGCTGTTAGCTCTTACTGACAGAGTAATTGTGTCAGTGATAATGGGGGTGGGGAAGAAGGGTTCTGATAAAAATCAGAAATGTTACCCAAGGAAATTCAACAGGTTGTTCAACACATACAATGTTTCAAKGCACAAAACTACATACATAGGAATTCTTGCTTTTCCTAACTACTGTTAAGCTGTTGTGCAAGCTAAAAGGAAAACCCAAAGGATTTACTCCAACTATGARCAAAACCAGTCTGAAAATGTCTGCAACAATAAGTGGTGTATTTCAGTGTAAGAACAGTGATATATATGATCAGATTTAAGGGGTGAAGAAGTCATGAGAGAGAAGAGCAAGTGCATTTTGACAGCAATGACCAAGGCACAACCAAGATCCTGCCCACTGCAAATGTGTTGAGGAGACTGGTAAATAGAGGGGAACATCAGCTGCCATCATAAATATGCTCAGGAGGAGATTATGAAGCCAGCGCCGGTAATCACTTGCAAACGGAGGTCAGATCAAGGTCGGGCTGAACACACTACTCCAGTCTACGTTTTCTGTCTAAYCTCCACTTGCTCAGCTGCTGATTCTTAAGTGCCATCTCAATTTTACAAATTGCTCAGGCCTGTCTCTCACAGGAAGAAAGTCTGAACTGCCACCAGGTGAGGATTTATTCAGAAAYAAGAGTCCTCCTACATCAACACGGAAAACGTTTTACAGAAATTATATCCATGATCAACTGTGCAGAAACACATYGCTTTAAAGCTTTAAATAGTTGCAGAGTGGTCACCTTTTCTCATATTGTCAGAATCCATTAAAAGAACTGCAGCAACAAAAATATTCACCAGAAGTTAAATATTTTAAATATCCAAGGAGAAAGCCTAAAACACATTAAAAAACTCACAATGCTTGTTTTACTGAAGATTCTTYAGTTCCTATTTAATAACTATGTTTTTAAAAACTACATACTAATATACTCCTCAAATAAGATCTTGTCCAGTCATTTGAGAGACTTCAAATTATCAATTTTCTTTCCAAGAAGATTTCTAAAGGATACAGTCATTCACAATTGATCAAACTTAGCAAATCTTACTTATTGCTAATTTTTCTCCAAACTGTGAATAAATAAAATCTGCAAACAAAACAAAATTCATGAAGAGGAACTGGTCTTGGTAGCTAATAAATTCAAATTTCACAACACTCTTGAGAAGCTACTTTCTAAGTAGTTTATAAGGTTGATAGTTAATCTATAAAATTACCTTGTACTAAGGCTTTTTCACTTGCAAAATTAAAAACAGAATAATTTTCTCCCCCTTCCCCATCTCCACACCTTTTATAGCACAGTTGGAATKACTTCAAAAAAGAAATACACTTTTTAATCACTGCTGAACTCACAGCTCATCACTATTTCCTTTACTTGCCTCTCTAAACCTCAACTTCGGAATTAAGACCATGTAGAGAAACTTCAATATCCAAGAGATGCAGCTGTATCTGCAAAGGAGTTATCAATGGAAAACATTTTGGAATCTCAATTGCTATCCATGTAGCAAAAATATTATGTTTCTTGCAGACAAATTGCAATGAATCGCAAGTATTAGCRGATATTACAAATACTAAAAATAACCAGGAATAAATATAACCCAATGCATCATTCTAAAAAAAGGATTAAAAATTCAAAATATACACATTAGAAAAGAATAAAGATAATATGACTCAACTTATCTTTTACAGCATGGATGATAAAGTTTTAATCCTAACAAATCAAAACATATAATGAATGTGGCCTATTGCTTAACTATACAAGAATAAAATTCAAAAGGTAAGTTACTTCTTGGTTATACCTAAATGTCTTATCTAGACTGTGCCTTAGTTATTTTTTTTAAATGTATATGCTTTCTGAAGATTTGTGGGTCCTGGGTAGGAGCTTATGTTTATAAAGTAAGCGAAAAAGACACAAGATTCCAAATGATCCCAGTTTGAAATCTGCATAATCCATAACTGTCAGAACTCCATAAATAGAATAAAAGAGAACTACTGAATTAGTTTATTAATATTTTATCTGTAATCATCTAAATGCAAACGAAACTTCTATGACAGGAAAAATTATCTTAGAAATGGTTCTGTCTGGCTTTTCTGATTTATAATATAATCAAATTCTGTCAAGTTGTTTTTCTAGACTTTCAGGTAAATCACAGGCACATAAAATTCCATATGCTAAGATAATGCATAATTTATGAGAAAGCATACCACCACCTCTAATTTACCAATAGCTACTCACCTATATTCTAAATATACATTTTAGGACAGAGAACAACAAAAATCAGTGGTTGAATTTCAGATTTTGTAATGATCTAACATACAAATCCGTGTTCAAATGAATAACGAATTGTGTCCCACCATTTCTTGCTCCCGAGGCCCTTCCTTAACCTTTACAATAAACAGAACTTACTTTAAAAAGCCTGTTTTTCTAAATATTTGATCATGGTCCCAGTGCAAATTCTACAGTCAGCTGTAGTGCAAATATAATCAGGCCCAAATTATAATTTTAAATSACATTCAATAAGGCCATTTTACGTATTATTTCCTTTCCTTATTTTGGTTCATGGGACACCTGCAGAGAAACTTGAGGTACAAGAAGGGCTATCCTTGCGCTACAACATAAATATTTCCTTTATTTACCCTTGCGATAGCGTCCTTAAGTATGATTTTGGCCTAAGACACTAGTCAAAATACTTGTTATGTAAGGGTGTCTGGAGAAACATGCACTCTTAAAAATAAATATATACGGTTACTGAATTATTAGTGGAAATAAAAGCAACGAGGGCCTGCTTGGATGCAGTTACAGGGAGCAGCGTGTGCCTTCCCCCTCGCTCCCCAATCCAACCCGTCCCCCATCCTCCATCCCCTGCCTAACTCCTCCAGAGCTGGACGCTCAGGGGCCTGCGAAACTGCACCATTAAAAACAGTAACTGGTGAAAGCATTTAGGGGGAAAAAACGGGGTAAAGTTCCATTTTCGGCGAAGCTTTGGTAAATAAATCAATCAAATCCAAAGCGGGGGGAGGGAGGGGCAATCCCGGACGCGCTGACAGCGCTGCGCAAACACGTACTCCCACACGGGGAAAACTTTCCGCCCCCCTCCCGCTCGGCGGGCCGGGCCGGGCCGTGCCGGGCCGCGCCGGGCCGGTGCCGCCGGCGGCCGCTCCTACCTCTGCGGGCCCGCGGGCAGTGGCGGCGGGCGCGGGCGCTGGCTGCTCGCTCTTCCTCTATAGCGGCGGTTATCTCCGGGTCGTCCTCCCCATTGTACCACACCAACAGCTCCTCGCCCGCCGCGATTGGCTGCCGGGAGAGAAGAGAGGCGCGCGGCGCCAATCAGCGCGCGGCTTGTTGGCGGCGGGCCGCCGGCGCGGAGGGAGGGGGGACGGCGGTGGGGCCCAGGGCTGTCGCCCCGCGGCAAGGGCGCCGCCGCGCCCGGCAGCGCCCCCTGGCGGCCGGAGGGCCGCGCCGCCCCGCGCTCCGCTCCTCCCGGGAATTGAGCTGAAACTGGTTTTAAATCAAMCGCTACTAGGCTTAAGACATTCTCTCTACATATTTTTTAAATCTATTTTTTTCTCCATTGCCTGAATAATTCTACCCAAGTCAAAAAAWGAAAAGAAAAAGCCAAATCCACCCTGCATGCCCTCCTACACCCTGACCACTCTACCCACTTTCTCCCCCCAAGTTTAAAGAACACTGGGGCACTGGAAATGAAATACTATTTCTAAACTCATTACATGAGAACAAAAGGTATCTATGCTTCYAAGACTTCTATTTCAAGTCTGAAGCCAAAGGGAACTTTTCTGTATGAAATATTAATATCTGTTTCTTAGCACTCTAGGTCTCCCAGCACTCGACCAAGGTGATAGTTACCTTTATACTAACACTGGAACAACAAGAGACACAAGATCTCTATAACTATGTTAAACATTAAGTTTTAATATAAGCAAAACTTCCTTTTTGGATTTGCTTGCACCTCTGGATGTCTGATGGATAAATGGTGGTAAAAATATTTGCATGGCCCCATTTTGCAGCTCTTTAGCACAAAGAAATGAAGTTGTCTGATGTAAACCATCAATACATAGACTGCAAGGGCTGGCATAAAAGGGCTGTGCAACCGCATGATGGCAATGAGCACATAGTCTGTTAAGCCTTCCTGCCTTGAACTAACATTCCGCTGGGTGGATTTAGTCTGGGAGCAGCTACTCTCCACCAAAATGAAGCCTCTTAGCAAGTACTGTGAAGGTGCAGGGCAGCAGTGGCTCTGATATGAGCATCAGAACTGCTCCCCAGATACTCCTGCTTGTCTTGCTCCGCAGATACTCTTGAATATACAGCCCTCTCACCAGGAGCAGCTCTAACAGCACCACCAGGAACCAGCTTCCTCACGGCCACTATCTAGGAGTAGGACCCATGTAGTACTCATAGGTCAGGACAGTTCAGCTCAGGGGTGAACTGTGGACAGCCCCTACCACTACCTGCAAAATAAAACTGCGGCTCTCCTGTGCTTTCTCATACAGCCCCTGCTTTAACTGTGACACGTCTTCTGTCTGGAGATCAGCTCTTCAGAAGTTTTCCTTTCAAGCGGTTTGGAAATTTGTTTTCTTTTCAAAAGTAGTATCCAAAGTTAACACAGATTGTATAACACTATACACTGTAAACACAAGCATTGCAACATGCTGCGCAGACCGAGACATACATTTACCTGACCTTATAGCAATATATATATTTTTTCACCACAGATTCTGCCTTTATATCTGACTGTAATACTGTGCTTCTGCTCACAGATGTGGTTCACCTCCCCCAGATGTGACCACAGTGGGCAGTTTGTGGAACAACATGGTAGCACTTGTGCTTATTTTTCCACACCAGTTCTATTGCTTGATTAACATTGCATCCCTATGCAACAAGTTATTGTTATATATTATTAGAGTTACTATAAACCTGTTTGACAAAACCTTCCTCTATAAGAGAATTATTTTCACCTTAAAACTCAAGGGCAGTCTCACAGTCAAACTGATTTAGGAGACTTTTCAAAAGCAAGTTTTCATTGCAATTTATTATTAGAATTTGTAATTCGTGAAGAGAAAGCATTAAGACCAGGACTATGTGCAGAACAATACTATTATGAAGTCATYTGGAGAGGCAGGAAGAACTTCTGAAACCCCATAATGAGTTTAAGCTGTTTCAATGAAATATTACAAATCTCATATGTATATGGGGAAAAGTATATGCAAAGCAGCTTACAAAGATCCTTAGTCCTTCAGTAAACAGGAAGAGAATATGGAATAGAGCTGTATTTGCTTGTGCTTACTTAAAAATTCTGTCCTAAACTTCATTATAAATCCCCAACATTTAATTTTACTACTCATTTACAGCAGAGAAGAGAAAAATGAAAGCAGTTAGGACACTTTTCTACACCAAGCAACTTCAGACTTGCTTATTTTAGCAATCCATCTTGGAAATCAGCTTATTTAACTTATAAATTAAAATACAGAAAAAGATTAATAAAAACTTGGGGAAAAAAAAAAACTAAGAACATTGCTTAGAACTAAGAACAGTGTTTTAAATGGTACTGGTACAAAATAAAAGCCACCAGCAAATTCTCTTTTGGGGGGCAAGAAAGTTTTTGTTCTATMAACAAATAGAACTCCTCTGCATTTATGAATTATGATAAAGATCAGGAAACAAACATGTGTACCTGCACTGATGTTACTCAAGTTAAACTTACTCAAGTTAAAACTGTTTTGAAGAGGCAGTGCACGCACCATAACATATTACGTGCAGTTAATGCAGGTATAGGAATATTTTTAATGTCCTTCTCCTGCAAGACTGCATTTCAATTACCTGATAGCATTTACATATCACTGAAAGTTAGGGAAAAAATGTGCTCCACTTAATCTACAGCCTACCTAAAATAGTTATGTTTATATGTCTACAATCATTAACTACTTGCAGGAATATTTATCACAGAACACAAGTATGTGCACTGTTACTCATTAAATACTTAAGTTTCAGTGGTCAGCAGAGAGAGATGTCAATCTAAAGCATCTATGGGCCGTATAAGAACTAAGTCATCACAGATGGTGAGAAACTTTGTAAAGCAGAAAATGGCAGAATATTTTTTTCAGGTATGAATCCTCTCTKCAATTTCTATTTTAATAGATAGTGAAAAAAATCCTTCAGTAGTAGATTGCCCTAGAGACCACAAATTTGAGAACTCCTACCTACATTATACTTTCTCATCCCATGCTGTCAGTCTCTTGCAGCTTTATTTGCAAGTTACTCCACGCTGTATAAGAATAATTACATAATTAAATAATTAAAGCAAGTCTATAAAATGCTGGATTAAAAAAAGGTTAGCTTTCTTAATGCTCTTCCTTGGTTTTTATATTTATGAAATGGACCACAGTCATGAATACTCCTATTACACTACAAATTATCCGTTTGCACATTTAAAAATCTGAGATGTGACTTTCTAAATCTTGACCTCCAATATGCTGACTATGCTGAAAATKTCTCATAAAATTCTCCACAAATTACACCCTCTATTTCCCCCTCACTCCCAAAACAAAACTGAAGGTGAATAAAATCAATAAAGTTTGTTTCATGAAGCTCCCTATAAAAGTGTCTTTGCCATCAATATTTTGTAATATAAACAATTGATTTCTGGAGGAAAAAAAAAACACTTTCAAATAGACCCTCAGATTAAAGTGCCTTCTGTACCTACAGGAACTTCAAAATGTTTGATATGCACATCAAATCATCACCAAATTAAAAGAAACTGAATCTTCATACATATCCTTATTTTTAAGGGTACTAAATAATGCCAACTGTATTGATGGGGAATAATTTAGAATAATGGAACTCTGTATTTGCAACATCATAATTGTGTTTCTTAAAATGCTGCAGAATGAATTTAATAGAAATAGTTCAAAAAAGGATTTGAATAAAGGGGAATAAAAGCTATATAAAACAAATAACCGATTCTTCACAGCCATTGATACCTTTAAGCTCTTGTAATAAATGGTCCTGTTTATCTCCAGAGGAAATAGATTTTGCTCCTTCCCYGAACGAGCCCAGTTTATATATCGCAGCCAGTTCCCTTTCTTGGGATCAGTTGCATCAACACACATCCATCCCAGGTTTGGGTAATATACCTAAGAAAGAAAAATTAYATTTATCCCAAGCAAGGAGACATCGGTATTAATGCAGTGTAAATGCAATAAAATATAGAACACTTTTTAAAGCTGTATAAAGTAGCAGTTACCATCGAAGGAAAGAAATGAGTCAAAGACTGTYGAGGTTCTGAGTGGCATTATAGAATCAGAGAAACTCGTATGATCAGAAAAAAAACCCAACACTTTTTGGCCCTCAAACCTGAAGATCGAGTTCAAAAGTCAAAATGCCTTTTTTTTAGTTTGGAAAACAGAAAATGATTCTTTCATATTTGTATTCAGCAAAGGCCTTATTTAAGCATATAAACACAACAGAAGATTAATTTGATGAATTGGGATGGGTAAATAAAAGTTAGCAGTATTTGCTTTCTTTGGAAAGATAAGGGAAAGCATAATAACCATTTAATCTTGCCTCTGGGCATCTTAACCTTTCAGAAGTTTTGTGATCACTTAAAAAAAAATTGACCCATCTGTAATCTTTTGCATGATTCAAGATGCCATGTAAATTCTTTCATTTCCATTTACGGAAAAAATGTTTTGAAATTCTGCTTATTTTACATGTCAAGACAGCTTGCAATAAAAAAAAAAAAGTTACAAAACTTCAGTATTTCCAGCCATCTTGCAATTCTGCTTCTCATGATGTGTTACGAGTCTCTTGTATCTCTTTATAGTCTAAGCTAGATGCCTATAACAAAAGCGTTTGGTGAATGCTAAGTTTGCCAAACCAAAGAACACACAACTGTTGAGCAACCAGAGCTATCATTTTTCCATTATTTAAAAATATTTCCTTTGTCTCATTATACAGGCATACAACTGTTTTTATTATTTCTCACAATAGTTCTAAGCATCTAAATAGTTCTAAGACTTTTCCAAAAGTTTTACATTTTAAAGTATTCTTCTACAGTAGTTTAAAAATAAGTTCTTTTCTTTTGTACCAATATCCTGATTTAATAAACCAGAATTCTATCAACTGAAAATGGTATAAAATGTTTCAATAGATAAGCCAAAATCTCCCATGTCTCCTTCCAAGCAACAGGCAAAAAGGAAATACCTCCCTTCAACCGCTTCAGCACGGATTTCATCAGCTGACTTTGGCAAGAATGCTCATCAGCACACTCAATCCTTGCAATATGAGAAAGTAAACAGCTTCACAGATCAAGATTGTAAAAGTAATCCTTTTGGTTAAAATGGAAGAAAAGCACAGCCAAACAGCACTGAGGAAGAGTTAGTAAGTGAGATGTATGGCAAAACGTAATACCTGATTACTTTTCTGTCAAAGCTTCTGATTTACTGAATTTTGTTTAAAGGGCCTGTGCACTGTGGGAAAGGAAATAGTTTTAACTCCTGTGTATAATACTGTGACTTCAAATGATTCTTGCAAACCAGGATCCAGATCATTCAGTGCAGTTGTGCCATTCACTCTGAACTCATCAGCAAGTGGCATTTCTTGCACTGTTTTCACTCACTTGCCACCATTTTCTTGTCAGCGTCTTTTCTTTTGCAAAAGAATACTTTATACATTTTCAATTTATAATTCAAGTTATAAATTGAATTGTCGCCGATTTCCTCAGCGACAGCATGCAGATATTGGCACATAAAACCAATCTCATTCAGAACAGTCATATAATGAGATTTTGAAATTTTTAACTTTAAACTAACATCTCTAGTTGGCTGTCAGGAGCCTAACTTTTCTTCATATTAATTTCACTAAAGAGGGACTCTTGGCAAAATGACTCTTTTCTTTGGGATCAAGGTTCTCATACCGGACTACTTTCAAACACTGGCATCCTTTTACAAATTACATTTTCTAACGGTTAAGCTGCTGTGGTTTCAGATATCAGCATATGGGGCCAACTGTTGCAGTCTCATTTTAGCTCATTTTTTTTTAATTCCAAAACCTGTATTAAAGCAACAAGCTATACTTGAAACCTAGTAAAAGACCCTCCTCATACCCTCCATTGCAAACTATACAACTTTGTTTCCAGAATGTCTGTCACTATAGATTTCAATATAAATTTAAAGAATATTAGAACATCCAGTGTGAACACTTAAATCCAGCACTGAGAAATACAAGGTCAATAATCTACAGGGTTGGTTTCATCTTAGCCATCAACAACTCTAAAATAAAAATAAATAAAAGCAAAACCAGAACCTAATATAACTCTAAAATTACTTGTCTAAATATAAAAATACATGTTTGTAGTGGAAACACCAGATATATGGCAATGATTCTGCAGATACTACACCTATAGTCTCTGAAAAAAAAATGAGAAGCAAACAAAACAGACTGATATTTTTTCTATCTACTTTTTCTATTTACAAGGTATTTCTTACCTCCCACATGTACACATTGCTTTTAACCTGAGATCTTTTTTTCTTGTCACCAACAAATGGACCAAACTTCCTGCCTTTTAAAATTGATTTTGTTGCCCAAACACCTGAAAAGATACATACAAGTAATTATAATGAATCTACTTGATTTCAAGCAAATATTCTACACAACTCAGATTTTCTAAAATCATTACATATGTGTCTGTCTCAGATTGGGAATCATCCTCTCTTTTCAGGAGAAAAAGAAGTCCTCTCTTTTCTCCTGTACCTCAGGTGATACTCAAAAAAAAAATCACGAAAAAGTTTTCCTCACAACTTTTACAGTGCAAAGTCCCAAATTTCAGCTGCTTTACTGAGAGAACATATTATTCAAACAAAAACTAATTGCTTGTTATGAAACAATGCCAGGCAAATAAAGTCCCCCAGGAGTTGCAATTAATTAATTCTAGATGTATTAATTAATTTCACATTTTACAGCAAGATGGCTGTAAAAAAAAAAGCCAAACTCAGAAAGCGTGGAACCGCTGTAAGTGAAAGCAAGTCAGCAAAAAAAAAAAGGGATTTTCATGATCTAAGCTCTCTTCATGTTGGACTACCTTTGACCTAGATCTTCATGTTTTGGGATGAAGAGCTTGGACTCGGAGAAACTGATGGAGGCACATGACTCTCTTCTCAACATAAAKCCCTTCCCATTAATGTATGAGAGATCCACAGCTACCCAGAGGAAGGAACATTGCATTTTCATAGCAACTGCAGTTTACATAAGCTAAAGCAAAAATCCCACATTTCTCTTCATAGTTGAGGCACTCACCAAGCCTTGTCTGGTCGACAGCAGATGGGAAGAGCTTCACATCCTCGGGAAGCCCTCGAAGCACATGCTCAGGTACATCAGCCAAGGTCTCCACCGTGCCAATAGATTCAATTGTGTTCTATAAATCAAAAAAAAAA